GTATGAGTCAGTAATAAAGACTGACGCTTCTATAACCTTAGCCAAATCATCATCAGAGTCGACTGAACAATTGTTGTTTACCTGCGTATTAGACCAGCAAAGGTCTACAACTATGGGCATTAGTGAGCTTCCAAATAATATTAACAATTATCATCTTTATCTATTCCAATCGAATGTTTACTGAGGTCGTTAGTCCAAAGGGGAGTGTTAGCTTATCTGCCATAGCAGAAACTAAAGCAATCGTTAATACCTAAGCCTTCTCTGCATGTAGTTGTTATTCTGTCTAAAAGCCTTCCACGATGGGTCACGGCGGTCCGTGACTATACGCAAGTTGTTTACTATGTTCGCTTATGCTTTTGTTAGCATCATCATGTACAAGGATTTTTAAATCGTGTTAGGCGTGTTGTGGATAGAGACTGTACATAGTTTCTAGAATTCTTAGTCACTGTGACATTGGTACTCAAACTTTCTAATGACATAGGATGGGAAACTACAACATTCTATTAGGTTATATAGTTATGATCTATTTCTTCCACAATAGCTGCGTTGTAAGCTTCGAATTCCGGAATGTTGTAAAATTAGCAATTGGTTCATACGTCAGCGTGCGTTCGTCGAGATACGAAGCACGCGGGAAGTTGGAGAGCACGAAAGATGCGTAAGAGTTGCTCTCGGCTACGCCTCGAGCAACTCTAGCTTCTTCTCAACTTTTCAAATGAGGTTTCCCTTCTGAATTATCAAGACGAATTTCTGAGAGAAACAGGTTCGTTGATCAATTGTCGCTTTGGTCAATTATTTGATAGGAAAGATCTTTTCAAGAAATGCGGCAGAATTGGTATCTCTAGGACAAAATTACACGATACAATCGACTTGTTATCAACATATCCTAGGCAATTTAACTGATAAACTCTTAGACTTAAAAAAACGTAAAAAAAATTATTCCTAATTGTAATGATTACAATTATTTTAAAATTCATATTTAAATGTGTAGCGGATCCATGTTTTGATCGTAGAAACCTGAGTGATGACAAAACAAATATAAATGTGGTAGAGCCAAAGTTCATAGATTCAAATCCCGTATGGCCTGAAATTTTCAGGCTTTATTTTCACTACTGCTTAAGTAGTGTTTATTGCTAGATCTCTTTCTAATTCATTTCTTAATCCGCAGTTCCCATATATGATTTTCATACATTCACAGTCATTAACTTTCTTTTCTTTCTTTTTTACGGTCAAGAATCTCGGCTGCGAAAATTTGAGAGAAATTTATTTGCGTTTATGGCCTAAAACGAATTCAAAGCTAAATACGCCGAGATTTAGACAGATATTTTGTGGTAGACCTTAAAGTCATATTCGGAGATTTATCAACCAAAGAAGAAATGAACGATAAAGTCACAGGTAGCCCAGGCTCGCTGGATGGGCCTTGGTGAATATACAGGAATGGGTATGCTCTCTCGCACTCGGAGAAGGCTATAGTCCACAGCGGTTAGGTTCGGGCGGCAGTTTGGCACTCACCCGAAGATCTGTGTTGCTACGTTTTTCACAGAATTTAGAGTTGATGCCAATTACGATATTACCCCATAGATAACAGGAAAATAAAGCCTGGAATCGAGCAATTTGCTAGAACCGGACATGATATTAAGAAAAGAAAATTTGATAAGTTGCAATCGACAGCCGAATTGATACGGCGCTATTGTTTACCACAGCGAAACCTACATATACTAAAATTTTGCTGAAAAGAAGAAAGGAGCTTTGTGTGGAACATTCAGATGAAATGAAAAATAACCCAATACTCTGCTACTATTGAAAAACATGCTAATGGCAAAGTTTGAAACTTTTTTCAATTTTTTTACATTTCTCAGGAGAGAAATTCATCATTAATTTGTCAACCTCTTTAAGGTTTCCGGTCGGTCAATCGAGGAAATTTTAATCAGCACACTGCTTTTAATCTTTTGATAGTTTATTTGATAGTTAAAGAAATTCAAAATGTATTTTTGGAGAGTAAATGATAGCGAAATAAATTTCTTAACTCTCGATTTAACATACTTTCCGTGCTGAGCGGTCAAGACTGCAGGAGTCACAAATCATAGCAGAGACGCAGAGAGGTCCTTTATAATCCCACAGTACACCCCCAGCGTGTATGTCTTATTATGAAAACTTTATTAATAAAATCGGTCGGAGTAACAAAGTCCTCAAAATTTCAAGCCTTGCAAGTGCAACTTTAGGTCACGGGCATTTCAACCCAAATTTTTAGCAAAAACTCAATGATTTTACTGGCTCTACTCTATGTAAAGAAGTTTCTATCTTTGGATCCCAACTACCCTTGCGGTATGTCTGGCGCAGCCCCAGTCTCTAGTGGGCTTGTTTAACTAAACACGTTTTAGAAAATTATGGATTCAAAAAAAAAATTCTGTCTTTCCAGTCTCATTATCATAGATTAACTATATTGATAGACTGTAATCGATTAAATGAAATTCATCAAGCTAAGAAGTACCTAGTGGTGAATTCTCCTCTTTTTCTGTGTTTGTGTGATTCTCAAAACCATTTTTACAGGACTTGCCTTGAATTCTTATTGGGGTCCGTCTTTTTGTTCTCTTAAATTCACCTGCATTGCGTTTGTTTGGTATGAATTACTATAAAAACGATCAATAATTATAATGCCTCTTCCACCTGACGTGACGGGCGACACTTTCAAGAAATTAATAATAACATTTTACAGTCCATGACGCATTACTCCAGTCAATCCGTTGCATTTGGTTAAATTCTTCACCGCGTATTATTTTGTCAATTTAAGTTTTTGGGCAAAGAGCCCAAAGGCGAAGAGGGAAGGTTATTTCTAATATTAACGATCATCATAGCTTGAAACCAACAGTTTCTATCGTAACCATAGTTACCAGACAGTAATAAAAGAAAACACATTTAGCTCAAGGTAGAAGGTAAGAGATGACTGTACTTAATGCATGGAAAACTTGAGTTTGACCTTCACCCATGATAAGAAATTATATCCACCTTAACTCTTCTATTTCTGTGTAGTTGAAATAAAACGAAAATTAAATTTACTGAGCTTCCAAATGTGGGTATCACAAACATTTGGCGAGGAAACATCCTCAGCTACTGAAATAAACATGATGATTCTCCACAATTTTTATTTTCCTACAACGGGTTTACTTCTTGAACCTTTTCTCAGCGATATTTGTTTATGTTATAATGACACCCGTTGTAGAAATTGTAGTTCTATGGCTATCGTAAATAGAGAAAAATACCAAATTATAAATGTCAGAGCTGGCGGTTCCAAGCACGTCACAAATTTTGAAACTGGAAGCGACGGGAAATCCCATAAGGCGATGAGAGAGGATTTAATAAAATAACGAAGCCCGCTGTTTGGGTTCAGTTTACAGTAAAGAAAAATAAAGTTAATGAAAAAAATTTGCATTTGAATCATCCAAATTGCCAAAAACTACTGCTGTTTTTTTCTGTACTTACAAAGATTTCCTTTCACAAATCGTTTTGTCCTATACCTCAACTTAGAATTAAATGCAGCTCGTTTGAATTCCGTTCAAATTATGGCAAAAGAGCTGATTTCGAAATAGAAGGACCTTGAAGAATATGGTGGTTGATTTGCAAGGTTCCCACTCAGAAAAATGAGTCGGAAGCTCAATGTTGACTCACAGGTCTCGTTAACCTTAAGTCTGCGCCAAGTTTATATAACGGAGGAAAACCTGAAACTTTTTTTTATCCGATACTAAGGGGTTTAGCTGAATCTAATCATAAATTACAGCACTCATTTTCCAAATACCAATTTCCTATCATCCTCGAGATCAAGGTTACGCCTAAGTGTCGTGTCGCTAAGGGCCTGAATTAAGTATAGCAGCTGTCTACCGCTTGATCGTGCTCAATCATTATAAGGTATCTGAGGGGTTCTGCCTCGACACTCTTCATGCTTTCCTGGTATATCGAGACGTAGGTCGTAAGTTGCTCGGCAAATTTATGGAATTTCAATAGTTTAAGATTCTCCGTTTACAGGAGATTTTCTGTTTGTTTAACTAAAGAGGTTATTAGAATTCATCATTAATTAATTTGGACGTTAATGAATGCGGGGGAAGACAAAATGACTAATTACATAGGGTTTTCAAATAGGAAAGCCATCCTTAAATTATTGCGCACATGTATTGTTTGGAGTAAGTAGGAGGGCCAAACGGGAAACATTTCGCTCGATGTAGTCAAGTGGGTGGTACAGTAAGGTACTCGCCCTAAGATCTGTGTTGCTACATTTTTCACAGAATTTAAAGTTGATGCAAATTCCTATATTACCTAATAGATAACAAGAAAATAAAGCCTGGAATCTTGCAATTTGTTAGAACCGGACGTGATACCAAGAGAAAAAAAAATCCATTTTGATTGTTTGCAACCAACAGCCGAATGGATACGGCGCTATTGTTTGCCACATGAAAAGACGCATTACTTCAGTCAATCCGTTGCACTAACTTAAATTCTTCGCCGCGTATTATTTCACCAATTTAGCTTTTTGTGCAAAGAGCCCAAACAGGAAGAGGAAAGTTCATTTCTAATATTAATGTTCATCAACAATTTCTATCGTAACCATAGCTACCAGACAGTAATAAAAGAAAACGCGTTTGGCTAAATTAGTCTAGCGTTGGGCACCAAAGAACGTTGGATCTTGGAAGGTAAGAGATGACTGTACTTACTGCATGAAAAACTTGAGTATCACTTTAACCCCATGGTAAGATTTGATATCCAACTTTAACTTCTTTTTCTGTGAAGTTGAAATAAAACGAAAATGAAATTTACCGAGCTTCCAAATGTGGGTATCACAAACACTTGGCGAGAAAACATCTTCAGCTGCTTGAAAGAAACAAGATCATTATCCTTAAGTTTTATTTTCTTAAACAAAACATTTACTATGTGAAATAGTAGGGGAAAATGTATATATTAAGCAAACAAAATTTAAGGATTTGGCATATCGGCGTAAATTTACATCGCATTTT